TCCGTGATATGGGGGCTCCCAAAGGAATTTTGCTGTGATCCCCTTGTGGATTCATGCAGGTGCTGTTGCAAATTTTCTTCACTTAAAAATATGTGCTTTTTAAAATTGTTTTGCAGGCAAATCCTCACTTTGTCTCTTCATATCAAATTATACCAAGCATTTAGGCCTAACACATAATATGGATGAAATTAGGAGAAAACCCCATAAATTGCTTAGCTTTTGTGGGGGCTGGTTACAATAATTTCAAGCCTAACATAATTTGATAACTATTTTCTTTCTACTGCTTTATGAAAAGACTCTCAAACAAAGCAGAGCTGGTGAAATTTCTTGTCTGCAATCATTTCAGATAAATCAAATAAATTACATGGCCAAAAGGTTACACAAATTATTTAAACATGTGAGTTAAGTCTTATGGGACCCATAAACATTTCTCAATGATGAAACATAACAATAAGAGTTTTCTTTGTGGAGGTTATGCTGAGGTTCTCTTGGATTCTTTATATATAAAACCATAAAAAGTGATTCCTGAGATATATATATTAAATTAGTTTCCCTCCACTCCTTACTTGTAGCTAATATTTCACTAAAATCTAATAGCATTATGGCTATAAACAATACAATTTTCTCCATACAGGGATATGTTGAATGCTTACTAGAGCACTGAAAAAATAGAAAATAGTATCTGGTTATTTGACAACACACACACAAAAAAAAAAAAAAAAAAAAAAAAAAAGTTATACATATTGTGATTTCTTTAAAATATGGTCTATTTTTCAGTGTCTGAGTAGCGTGTAGCACAAAAGGAGTGTTAAACACTAAAATACAATGGGAAATTTAAAAATTGCAATTAAATCTGCCACTGAACAGTTCCTTTATATTTCTATTCCTGGTTTACAAAGATCCCAGTCCCCTGTTCTTATTGCTATTTAAAGTTCCCAATCATGGCATCACTTCCCTTTGTAGATGCAGTTTCCTCAAGCTAACATGCATCAAACATCATATGATGAGCAAATAGACTTAAAACACCTTTCCCTTCCTTCCAGGCTAAATACTTCTGTGGCTTATGAAATAAGATTGACAACACCAACACATTAAAAATGTGCAACATCTAAACATTGGATTTGGGGGTACAATAGGCATATGCAGAAATAGTAGCGAATATTCAGATTATTACTTCTCAGAACCTGATCTTCCATCTTTGAAGAAAATTAGAATTAAATCACCACAATTCTTGCAGAAAATGCCTGTCTTGTAAGGTCTTTATCCAGTGTTAGTTGTTTTGTAGTCTTTGTAAGGGCTGATGAGATTTGTATCTGCAGCCACTGTCAACATATATCCAGAGGTTTTTATTTCAAAGCACAGACTTGATCAGTTGCTCAAGAAAACATTACATATTTCAATATGTAAATGTTACAGTATCAATTATTTATGGAAGGAAATCTTGAGAATGAATAGCAAAACACAAACAACCATGGAAAGATGTATAGATTTAGCAACGCTGATAGACTTTCTCTTGTTGTCTTGGACAAAAATTGCAAATAGAAAATAGCCACAAAATTATAGATTTAAAACCACTAAAATTCAAGCCCCAGTAAATGAAACTATTTTTTCTTGTCATCCCTCAGGACCACAATGTTATTACATAAGGGAAACAGAGGAATAAGACATATTGTTTCTACAACTAATTCTCAGAAACTATTTATGTATTTTATAAAAATCAGATCACCTAGGGGTTGTTTTTCTCTGGATGGTATTGTTAAATTTCTTCACTCTAAATATATGTTTCCAATATTCCTGCTTTGAAGGGAATGCAACATCTCAGAAAAAAACATTTGAATGTCAGCTATTTTGTGTCATCCTGTTGATAACTTGTCACTTTTGCTATTGCACTTTCACACACATGAACAAAGGGATTATTTCAATTGTTTATTTCTTGCTTAATGCTAAATAGTCTTATGTGAAAAAAAGAGAACTTTTCAGAAGGGTAAAACATAGCAGGAGCAATATTGTCATTAAATCACTTGGAAGTATTATGTGCAAGGGCATTTATCAGCGGAATATGTGCATTAAAACTGCATTGAATTGGTTTGTTTTGTTTTGGGGTTTTTTTTACTATTTCATTGCCTATAAGATTCTAAAAATGAACTATTAGCTTCATCTAGCTCATGTGCTATTTAAAACATTCAGTGTTAGTGTAGTGGATGCACACTCCCTTTCAGGCAGCTATGCCAGACCTTTATATGTTCTGTTCATCAACACATTGAAACCCAAACCTTGAATTTACTTTCAGACAGCAATTTGCTGAGATACTACCATTAAATTTCTTTGAAAGAGCATTAAATAGAGAAAGCATCTAAAAACCCACTTAATATTTCAAAAAGATGGAGCTTTTTGGGTCCAATCTAGAACTAAATCCTATTCCTCAAATCTTATTGCCAAAATCTGGTTCAGAAGCATGAAAATATTTCTTTTGGATTAGAGATATTTTGTGTCTGCCTCCTTAATATGGTCACAACCCTAAAAATCCTAATTACAAAGTGTGCCTGATTTTTAGATCCAGATGAGCTCATTTCTAATTTCCATGAAGTTGTACAGCAAGAGTTTACATTGGTTGTTGCTCTCTGACTCCTTGAAGCCCTTCACCTCATGAAGCTACAACTTCATCCTTCATCCAAGCTACAGCTGTCATCCTTCACATAATTCTCATTTTTGGAACAGGCAATCTGTCAGTCAAGTCCCCACCCTGGGATCAGTGTAGGGGTTCAGTGAGAGAAGTTTGTTCCCATTCACCCAGCTATCCTGGCTTGATTTTACCCTACATCTTAAATTGACCATACAGGTACAACAAGGCATGAAAAAACCCAGACACACCCACAGGTGGCTCTGTCTGTTCTTTCTAGGGGGAAGATGCTTTGTCTGTCATTTTTTTGCCATTGTTTTGTTTGGTTTGTCAAGCCTTGATTCTAGCCAAGTGTTTTACATTAAGACACAGACCTCACACCTGTTTGATGGCCAGCAGAGCTATTGTAAATATAATCAATCTTAACCTAAACATACCTGTAAAATTTCTTTGTTAACATGTTCAGATTTGTACAAATAGATTCAGCTCAGCTTATAATCTCCAACAAAGTATGTCTCTAGTCAGTGGAGATACAGGATTTCCAAGCAGATTTTTCTCTTTGCTTCGTACTTGGGAGGAACTCACTCAACTTTGGTCCATTCTGCCTTTGGATTTCCAGCTGCAATAGCAATTTTTCTGACACTCCCATTCTTTGCAAACAATTCTGGGATGAACTGTTCCACTCATTTGAACAATGAGCATGAAAAAGACTTTTTTATTTTTATTTTCACCAAGCTGGCTATTTTATGATTGCGGGTGACAAACCCTAAAAAGCCTAGATCCAGCTGCCAATCTCACCAACTATTTTGTGCTTAGGTCTATTCATTAGTGGAAAAGCAGCATGTGAGTGCTGATCTTTTTCCATGGCTAACATCCCCAAACACAATGAAAGCTGATGAATTTACCATGTTGTCAAATTAATTTATTTGATTAGTTGAATACAAATGTTTCACTTAAACCAGTTATGGCAACAGACTTTTATTGAATACTGAAAATGTGTACAATAAAGGGCAAGAACAAAGAAAAAAGTCATGCAGGGGTTTTACCAAACAGGTCTCCTGAGACAGCACAAAGGAGCTACAATCACCCTCAGGAGCTCACCTTTTATGGATACATGCTCTCTGGTGCATGCATACCTTCCATGGGAAACAAAAAAGCCTGGAAAAATTCATCTGGAGACAACCAATACATCCAAAGACATTTTTGAATAATGTTTGCTTCTTATTGTCAAAATGTTTATAATTGTCTATCTCCTAAGCTAAAAATATTCCTGTTGCTTGAGTAATGCACTTGGGGGAAAGGCAGGATGGAAGCCAAGCATGCTGCTTCCTTGAAGAATTTAACCCAACCAAAGGATATCCAGTGTCCTAAAAATTATTATTTTGGCTTGACAGATTTAACATGGGATCCAGCCTGCTGACTACAAGTGACACAACACTGGGTCAGAACTTGGTATTCAGTATCTTGGTGTGCAGAGGGAAAACTCTACCACGGTCTGCCAAATGAGGGAAGCTTATAGCCCCAGCCAGAAGAAACTGTCCCAGTTCATCTTTGCCATGAGGTGATGATAATGGTTTTCCCATGGAATCAAGAACTCTCTGACAGCAGCATAAAAATGAAACCGGGTCAAAACACAAATTGTCCTGTGGTTCACTTGGTTTCCTGACGACACGAGAAAGAAAAAAATCTGTCTGCACACACACTGCAAACCCTTTATTATTTAGGTGTGGAAAATTTATTTTTCTGTGGGCAGATTTTGAATATAAATTGAGGTCCAGATTCTTTGGCGTGGGTAATCAGCACTGAGGTCATTTGCAGTTTCCTAGTAGGACTAAAAGAGCAGCACAAAACCAACATCCGTAGCATCTGAGAGCTTTACCTTTACAAAGAAGAAGTGAATAGTGACAAGCTGTCACAGCTTGAGGAACACCACAAAGGAAAATGGGAGAGGAATGTCTCTGCACTACTCCTGAAGTCAGAGAGCTGCTATCACTCTGCATCCGTTGCTTATATCGCCTTCAAATCCATAGTGTGCCTAACCCTACACTAGTCCTGCCATCAAGAGAAAAAAACATTCCAGAGTGGATAGAACAGCAGTTTTATTGTTCTGTTTTACGCTTTTATATATGGGTGGAGAGAGCATGGCACAAAACCAAAGCACAGTTGGGGCTGGAAGGGACCTCTTGAAATCAGCTAGTTCAAACCCCTGCTAAAGGAAGGTCAGCTTGGGATTTTTCATTGTCTTAGGGATTTTTGTGGTTTTTTTCTTTTTTTTAACAAGTAATTCAGGCTATTTTCATGAGAAAAAATTAAATACATGAGTGTGGAGTCTGCAAGGATGGTATTGGAAGTTTGAGAAGGTAAAACCTGACAGCCTCATCTGTATTTTCCAGGAAAGTGCTCATGAAGAGTGACCCAGCCTGTCACTGGAACAAACCTAGATTCCTTCAAGAGCCATTCTGGAATGAGCTGGTGTCTGTGGAGCAGAAAAAATGGGCTTCAAAATCCAGGGGTGATGACACAGCTCCGTGATTTTACCCCCCAGACTCGTGGGGATGCATGACAGAGTCCTGCTAATGCACCAGCACTCACGTCCCTCTGCAAAAAGGGCTTTTCTCACTCTGACTGAGCTCTGTGAGAGCTTGATGCTTCCTGAGCATTTGTTACCCTCCGTGTGCGCTCACACAAGATGCCAGGGGCCTCTGTGCCAGAACAAGTGTCTTGCTTGCTCTTCTGTCACCACAGCTTTGCCTTCACACTCCTGACTGAAATAGCTGTGCTGGCAGAATCCAGGGTGGATCTGCGCTTGGTTCCTGGAAACAAAGGAAAAGCACTTAGGGGAAAAGAATGTTTGAATAAATTTGAAACGTGCTGAAGACTGAAATACAGGATAAAATTTAGATCTCTATTGTTGTTACATAGCTTGACATCTGAATTCTTGCTATTCTATTCAGGCTCAAAATCCCCCACCTCATTGTGATTGCTGAGTGCTTGTTGGCACAGGTTGAGATTTTCAAAGGACTGTAAGGGGAGGATGAATTTCAGTGAGATTTGAGCAGCTGATTCTCCCATGATACCTTGGTAATACCAATACACAAAATAAGTTTTTATTACGTTTTAATTAGCTCCTATTTTATTCTGATTTGTTTTTTTAAGTACTTAGAGTTCAAACACCAGAAATCAGCCCATGGTGCTGAGAAATTAATTGTTGATGTTAGGTTCTTTTCTAAGATTTACAATTGCATCAGCAAACACACAAGCACACACAGGACATGCTGCTTTTATGAAAATCACAATCTATCTGAGGGTAAGGGCAGATAGTATTAAATGAACAGAGAAGGCCACTTTGAACAGTATATCCCCAGACTGAAATACAGGACTAACTTTGAAAAAAAAAATCACAGATGGCAAGGCTCTGGCTAAAGAAAATCTAGTTATAGCAGAGGAGGAAAACATATGTTCCAGATACATCCTATAAATAGACTAGGTACTCTTATGGGATATATCAGCATTCAAAACAGCAGCAAAAGAAAAGGCCAGAATAAATGTGCAGGTTTTGGGGGTTTTTTTGAGTCCCATCAGTCTCCTGCATGCATCTAGTGGCATTACAGAAGAGGGTTTTTTATTTCATCATACGTTTTAAAATCTAGTGTTTGATTCAAAATAAAGCTAATTTGCATTGGCACAGCAACTTAACTCACTGGTGTATTATTACTGTGTAAGCAGGTGTACCAGCAACTGCAAATAAATGGTTGCTGATGGAATCCCAGCAGGGCTTCTGATGAGTTTTCATTTTGTTGAACCTCACCCAGGAAATTATTGTGAAAAAAGCTTTGCTCTTAGTTCTTTGCCTGAAACATTATTTAGCTACACCTGGCCAAATTCATGGCAATTATAACTGCCCACAGAGGACACAGGAAAAATCCCACCCCTGTTTAAATCATTGCCTCAAAACCCATGTATGAGCAGTGAAAATATCCCCCTCAGATTAATATGCACAACGAGACTTCTGATCCAGAGCTGCTCCCTCTATAACCTACATAGAGAAAGATAAAATGAAAGTTTTAAGGTGGAATCTAGGATACTCACCACTGGAATACTCTAAGTGAAGGTATTTTAGAGTGAAATGTGCAATTCAAAGAAAAAGTATTTCCTTTTATAATTGTTCTGGCAAGATATTTGATTATGTTGTTAGAGTTCATTTCCATTTTATTATTTGGGCTGAGAGCATATCTGATTGTTTTGGTCTTTGAGGCTTATTTGATTCAATTCAGAGAACCTAAGAAACACTGCAATGGGCACTGCATGTCCCACATTCTACAGCCTCCCATGAAGGAGTTATTTAGGTCAATCTTTCATACCTACGGTAAAAAGGAGGAAAAAAGTTTTCAGTAAAAGGCTGAAGAATAGCTATTGATGCTTTCATATAGATCCTCAAGATTAACCACCTAAATCCACTGCTATTTTAAGATTTGCCAGTCACTTTCAAATATTACCAGGGTGATTATTTGAAAGCCAGCAAACAAGATTAAAATAAATATTTCCTTTTCCTACACTAGCAAGTGGCCATTTACCAAAGAGTGGGAGTTGAAATGAGTTTTCCTATTGATTACCATGAATGCTTATGAATTCTTCTAAGTGATAATGATGAAAAGTACCATCCAATGTGAAAAAAATTATAAATTTCCTCAAAAAACGCTGCTATGAAAGGTTCTGCAGGGGAACTACACTAGTATTTCAGAAGTATACTGACCTACTTTTTTTAAAAATCCCACTCTAAAGAAAAATCTATACACAATATGATTTTTTTTCCAGCTTAAAGCTAAATTTACCTTCCTCCTTAATTTCAAAATGACATTCTATTGCATAAAGTTATTTCCAGTGATGTGAACATCACTGGGCAGAGCTCCTGCAGCATCAGGAAGGGACCAACCCAACCACTGCACCAGCATTAGGTGTCACCTCCCAGCAGTGGGGGGAACTTTGGTATGATTTATAACGACATCATTCTGAGCTCCATTTGATTCAGCACATCAGATTAAACAAAAAAACATAAGACATCCATCCTCTGAACAGTCTCTGCTTCACAGCTCAGCTTTTAGTACTTAGAGATTTCAATACCATGGCAAGATTTGCAGAACCATCTTGCCCTGCTGAGAAACCCTGATTTGGAAGGACAAATCAGAGAGCATCACAAATGTCAAGCTTCTGGATATCACTTCAAGATGCTTTTCAACTGTGGAAATACTTATGCATGGCCAAAGGAAGAGAGGGAGAATAGCACGGCCACTTCAGTATCAACATACAGACCTAACTCCTTTTAAAATCTGTATGGAACACTTTGAAGAGGTTCCTAAGTGTACAAAAAAAAAAAAAAATAATCATAATTTGCTTTGGAAATGTAAATCTCTCATACCATTTAACTTCTTTTTCATGGCTTATCATGAACTTGCCTTTCATTTTAAACAAGAAGCAGTGTGTGAATCAGAGTATAGAGCAAAGGTTTTTTAGGAAGCCATTATGTGGCTACTGCCTTTTCTAGGATATGAATTGGAGTTTTTCACTTTGCAGTCATTGGGGGAATAGTGCCCTAGGTGCCATCACACAGGTGCTTTGGAAGGGCCTCTCCTGGGAGTCAGCTGTGATTGCAGCCTCTCATCTCTCTCAAAAGTACCTGCTTCTGTTCCTCAGCTCCTGCTGACCTCAGCACTCAGCTAAATGTCCTGTTCCCTGCAGGGGCTACAATCCTATTTTCCCCAGAAAAACAGGCTCCTGATACCTTCTGGCTGCTGACTTGGCTCTGTGGGAAGTTGTCTCCCAGCTCTGTGATCCCACTCTCCTGCAAGCAGGGCAGGGGCAGGAGCTGCTCCCTCTCCTGCAAGCACAATTCCTGTCTATTTACAGAGCTGTGATTCACAAATCATGAGAAGTCCAGATTTAGCTGAGCAAATTATAGGAAAGCACAAGTCCTGCTCCTTCTTCCTACTTGGCCTCAGGTCTCAAGAGAAGGCTGAGACTCAGCAACAGCAAAAACACACCAACTCACCAGAAGCCATGTGCAGACTGGGGAAACCTCCTCTAGAGGAAAATTTGCTATTTGAGGGGTAGGGTTGTGTGTGGTTTTGCTTTATTTTGGTAGCTTTGATTTTTAAAAATTTAATTAGGGAAGTAATGAGAAAGCAAGCATGTGAAACATACAGTTCATTTAAGAAGAAACATGTAAACAGAATTTTTATCAGGCCATCCCAGAGGAGATGTGATTGTTACCTGGACAAAAATGCTTTATCTCCCTTACTGAGATCTGCACGATAGACTGACTGGCAGAGCTATTAATTGATTCTTTGTATTTCTGATCTCACCAGGGCCAGCAAGCATTCCTAATGGTTTCTAATTCCTCATCATGACATCCATTATGTTCACCTCTGAGATGTCTAAATGAATTCCGTCTATAATGGCAATGTTATGTAAAATGCAACATGACAGGAATACTTAGAATTGTTCAAAGCTGTGCTGTGGAAACCAACCTTATTTGTGCCAGCCTTCCAATATGGGATTTGCATCTTTTGGTTTTCTACAGGCACATTGAGAAACTTGACTATGTAAGGGTTTAGACATTGCAGGTGGGATAGTGTTATATCCCTTGTGGCTCCACAGAAAACCAAACACAAACTAAAATAATCTATACAGGAAGAACAGGCATGCTGACAGAGATTGTTTGACATTAGAAAGGCACAGCTACAGCTGCCTACTCTTTGTTAAAACGTCTACAGTAAATCTGGGCTAATGCTCACACACGAAACAAAGAACTACCACAGGACACTCAAATAGGAGAAATATATTCTGAAAGGTGTCAATTTGAGTAATTTAACTACAGCAAAAGAAAAATAAAACATTTCTTAAAATCTGAGCCTTTCAATTACAGAAAACAGCTGTGAGAAAATCTAACCTTTCTTTGAAGCAGAAAAACACAACAATTGTATGATAAAGGCAAGAAAATGTATTCCTAAAATAAATTTTCTTATGTATTAAAGTGTCAATAAAAACCTATTCTTCCTTGACTTCAACTCTCAAGAGAGCAGGGTTGGACTAGATAATCTTTAAAAGTCTTTTCCAGCCTAAGTCATGATTCTGTGAATCAATGTTGTAGTTTCCAGCATGGCAAAATGACCTGTGCTCATAGAAAGGTGTATAAAACTCATTGGTTCATGGGTGTTATCTTGCTCTGGTGCCAAACAGGAGCTCCCTCAAGGGTCTCACCCAGCCTGGGAAGCAACTTGTAAAATCCAGAGAGCCTCTGCTTGTCATGCAGGAAAATTGGCAAGACACTATTTCATGTGAAATTTCGTATTTCACATGAAATACTGAATAGAAATATTTCACGTGAAATTTCATATTTTCCATGAAATGGTGAATAGAAATATTTCACATTTCATATTTGACATGTAACTCAAAAGGTGTGCCAAACTCTGCTGAAAATAAACTTAATGTATTCTTTTCCACTGAGAGGAGGGAATCCCATTTTCTCTTGGGTTTACCAAGTGGCTGAGAACAACTGTCTGGGCTGAAAAGCACCATGTGAGGAACAATATGAACACAAAATGAGTATCTGTTATGCACCTTTCTCCTACAAATCTGAGAAAGAGACACACAGCATTGCTGAGCTCCACTCACAAACAGATTAACTACTAGAATATGAACATGGAGAAGCACTCGTTCTTTGTTTTGCACTAATGTAAACATCTGCAAGCCCTATTTTTTTTTTTTTTGTCAGGTAAACTGCTAGTAAAAGACTCCTTAAAATGAAGAATTGAGA